AATTTCTGAAAGCTATAACAAATATTTGACAATTAATAATATTATGTCATCGAATATATATGCGATATCACGTAAATGTAGTTCAAATCTTTTATGTGCGGTGCGCAGTCACCATATTTACCAAACAAAATGAAAGATATTAGAAAATACTTTTAACTTATCTTAGATTTCACAAGAAAAACCTTCACAAGAAAGTTTACACGTATTTTACCATGTAATCGATAGCGTGCACAGAAGAAGATTGAATAAGCTCCCTCTTATCTGATTATTCCGTTTTAAGTAGCCATATCTTCGTCAAGATTTCATGGCGGAAATAAAAATCAGGAGCGTAATTGTATCATAAATTAGAACAATTGGAAATTTTGGAACGTTTGAAATGGATATTTTTAGAAGCTTTCCGCAAAAATTCATTCTCCTCTTGTTTCCCTTACGATTCCAATTTTTATTTCGCCAGAATTTAAGAGTAAATTCGTAATAAACATTTATATTTATATAAACATATCCATTTTTAATGTAATTTGAAACATTATTAAATATGTATGTGTATTTAGTATTTTTGGATAAACCGGCTATTCGATATGAGATTTTTTTTTTATTTCAGGGAGTCTGGTGTCATGTCGAATTGCAAGTTAACTTTCGCATCGACATACCTGCACCGTCTCGAATATCAGCGCGCACAGAAGTATGGCGTTGGTGATGGTGTGCCAGAAGATGATCGGTCCATAAACGTGCGTCAGCGCGTTGCAGTATCGCATTAGCTTTTGGTGCTTCACCACGCACGTACTCAGCACGTCGTAGAACTTGTCGTTGGGTAACGGATTCGTGAGTCTGAAGGTCATGGCGCGCATCATCGAGGACAGCAGGTAGGTGTAGAAGCTGAAGACGCTGTCGACGCCGATGCAGGTGATGCAGTTGATCGTTATCATGGCGATTTCGAAGAATAGGTGAAAATGGCGCAGGTGACCGGTGGGAACAGTCCAGAGATATCCGTATCCTCTGCTGTACGGCAAAGTATAATTCGTGATTAATTGAAAACGGAGGATACCGTGGGTAATGACGGTCAACGTTGGCATGAGGTACGTCAAAAGCAAGGTAATTATAATGCCGAAATATATGTACGCGAAGGTAGATATCCCGTGCAGGGGCGAGAACATCACCATCCGTATTTTCTCGTTCTGCTTAAGCTCTTGTTCGAAGAGATCGGTCAGCGTACGGTGATAATCGATGAGAGAACGGCGATTGATTAAGAAGCTTGAGACCTTGCAGAGAATTAGACATGCATACTTCTGTCTTTGTGTAAATCAGAATAAGTTTACAGTATGATTCTGAGTCTTAGTCCTGTGTGTATTAATTTCGTAATATTCGTAGTCCAAGTTATTTATTTCTTTTTTTTTTTTTTTGTTTGGGAGAAGAAAATTGTTCAAATTCTTCCTTTTCCTTTTGTAGAAGATATAAGATATTGCAAACAAATAATATTCTCTAAAGGACCAACCGATGGTATATTAACTTATTTTTCAAAGAGCGATTGATATATGTTATGTTTAAATAATCTTTAGTTCGACTACAAAATCAGCTTCTTCATAAGATGTATATCAATTCATAAAGAAAGAAGAAGTGATACAACAATATAAAAAAATAATTTTTAAAAATTATCTCATAAAAGTCAAATTTTGTAATCTTTTTAGCTTGTCGAAGATCATTAAGTGAACATATTAATATATTGATATATCTCTATATGTATCTCTATAAATCATTTTTCTAATCTACGTGCACAATTTCAAATTTGTACCTTGAGAATAGTACCCATTGTAGTTATTGATACACCTATATTTTTCATCATAATTGCCAGATGATGTCTATACATATAACTGATACGTATGTTCAGCATCGCATATGCAAATAACATCGGAAGTATGCAAACAGACCAGTAATATGTCGATTTGCCAGATTTCGTGGGAGCGTGCCAACAGCCGCAACCTGTGAGCAGCACCTGAAGAAAGCGCTGGTACCTATTATATGCTAGCAACTGTTTATCAGTCATACTGATTCCCGCATGGATCAACTCTGCGAGACGAATGAAAAAGTTCTTCAACTGTAAAATTTCAATCTTATAAAATATCAAAAAGTTTCAAACAGTTTCTTCGCTGATCTAAAACTCGAGCGGAATTTTAACTTCCTTATCCTGAACTTTTTACCTTAATAATGACAAACATAATAATAAACAAATATTTTTACTGATTTTTATTACAAAATTATATTGCCAATGAATCGATAATATTAATATTTAAATCAAACTGATTGATTAAAACAGTTGGAATGAATAAATGTGCCAATCTCATAATTAAAGTTTGCAGAATAATATGATAATGTTGTTGTTATTATTACTGTCCTTTATGTACGAATGTGGAATAATATATTTCAATAATCTTTAGAAAAATAAAACTAATTAAATTAAAAATTAAATATAGAAATAATCTTTAATGAACTTTTAAATATAATACTTTATATAAGAATCTTGAGAAAATGCTTACATTATATCAGAATTTGGTTGTCATAACTTTTGCAAATTCTATTCGAATTATTAACTATACTTATTGTTTATCCAAAAATCCAAAAGAAAATTTTTCTGTCAAACTTCATGCTCAAATATCTCTCGTTGGATATCGCTACGTAAAGCTGTCTACTTTTCCGTTGCTTTCAATGCAACGAGAATACAAGCAGTGACGGAAAGAGCGGGTTTAACTTCTATCTCTCGAAAATTGAAAACTTTGTAAAAAGCTTGCGTAATTTGTAATTGGTGCCGCTTTGAAGATGTAGCAGGCATAATAGCAGCATAATTTCTTCTATCCGTTACCTTTCAAGTAATACGTTTCGTCTATGGAGACTCTGAAATGTTAATAACTTAATTCCAGTTTAATGCGGTCATTCGCCAAAGTTTCGGTCAAAACGGCCTGCCATTCGAGCGTGCTGAGATTATAGACGGACTCTGGGTATATAAGAAAAATTACATTTCAAAGAGAATGACAGGGCATAGCATATGTATCTGTGAGTTGCGTCGTGAGTCCGGAATTACCGAAATTTTTTTCGTTTTCAAGGAACTTATACTTGATTAAAGACGGACGTATTTCCCGATTCCCTTTTCGTGTATAAGATGAAAGAGACTACATTATTACGATTGTAACGTTGTCAAATGTGGAATAACATTGTGAACGTAAGATCTGTGCTTTAAGCGGTATTTTAGGTTCTTATTCTCTTTTATTCCTCGCGGAAAGCTTACAGCCATAGAAGACTTACAGGGGAATTTTAGAGACATTTTTATCATTAAAAGAGAATTCGGAATACGGACTTTAATGTTTGAGGTGATGTGGTATAGTTCGATGGTGGATACAAGCAGTCGTCGAGACGACAAAGAGACACGGATTCGATTTCCCGTTCAGTCACCCGCACTTTTATTTTTTGTCGCTGGGACTGTCGTCTGGTCCGATCGAAAAATATTCGACGAATCTGTCAAACGTTCCTGTCTGAATATTGTCGGGCCAATGTAAAACTTGAAGGGCTGTTTTTTATACAACCCCTCACGCGAGTCTCTCCTGTCGCCAGCCATCAAGTTGTTCTGGTGAATTTAATAGTAAAGAAGCGGAATAATCTTTAATAGTCTCTAACATCATTGATATCTAACATCGCTCAGTTCTGCTGTGATTCTGTTGAAGTTTTTAATAAATTTTTTTCTAATTTTGTGCTCGACACAGTGTTACATTATATTACGTAATATAATTTCACTTTTTCGTAATAATATAATAAGTGCAGTGAAAAATTAATGCAATAATGTTTCTGTGAGAGTTTTATTACAAAAGGGAATTACTTAGATTCAGTTTTATTATTACAATTTTAAAATATTAATATCACCGATTATTTTCTCCAAATACTCTTCAAATTTTATATTATATAGTAATAAATTGTAATGAGTTGCATATAAAATAATAGTAATAAATATAGTAACGGGCGTAATAAACTATTTTTCTAATTTCATATCTATTAAATTTTTCGCATTTTTTTTTTATTATTACAAAAATGTCATTTCCACTTTAATTGTTATCGTAGGATTATTTGACTTTTGTATCGATGTATACCAATTTATACCGATTATACCATTTTAGTTCTGTTCAATCGGACATTTCAGGAGGCGCCACAATATTAAAGTATTTCTTTTTTCTATACATTTTGTGGAATGCAACTGACATCGAACTGACATTTCCGTTTTCAAAAAGCAATTTCTGTCTGACAAGAATTCCATCGGGATATTTCGAATCTAAATTGGCTTACCAGTCAATAAACAAATAAGAAATTCGCGATGTGTATTGTGTATTACAGTGCATCTTGTATATAATGTTATTTTTAAAAAATAAAAAAAGGATAATAATTTTTATTTAAAGAGTTTAAAAAAACATTATTAAATACTTGGTGAACTTATAAATTAAAATAATTGATGTGTACAAGTTTCCCTTTTTTTAAAAAAGAAATGCATATTTTTAATAAATACAACTTAAATATATTAGCGTTTACTTTTAACGAATATAACGAAATATAACCACCAATTGTTGTTATTCAATAAAGTACATATTTTCCTTTTTTTACTTAATATAATTCATTTTCAACTAAAAAATATTTTAATCAAATTTATATGAAAATTAAATAAAAAAAATCAAGTAATTTGCAATTTATCATTTTTGAAGATTTATTATTTTTAATATTTATCTTAAATAGTCATTTATTGATGATCGTTAAGCGACTGCCAATTCCCCTTCCAGAATTTACAAATTTAATATTTTTTCTTCCAAAAAGTAGTTTTATAGTAGTTGAATGAGTGCTGAATTCAAATCGAATATGTGAATATGCGTAAAAAAATGCGTTTATGTAAAATGCGTAAAAAACAAATTAAAACACAGAAGAAAGAGGAGGAAATCAAAAATCTCATTCTCTCTGTGCAGGACGGTCTATGGTATGGATATGGGTCTGTTCTCTGAAAGCGGACTTTTCCTACTTCGTCACGAAGGAGCGCGCGTGCGCGCGCGCGAGAAATCCGTTGGACAGAAACGCCGCGAACTTTTTGTCCGCGAGTGTACGTGCGTAGAACGGAGAACAACAGGACGTTTGGTCGGCCTGAGTTTGAATCGCCGTTGGCTCCGCGACGCCACGGCACGGCATGCCGCGCACGTAAATCCCTCGAAATTCCAAATCGTTCGCGCCGAGTGATCCCGATGCGACGCGACTGAGGAGCCCGGAACATTTTCGTTGCTTCGCGAGGTGTCCCGGATCAGAGGACAGAGAGTGGCCCTGACGTCGCGTTGGCGTCCCGATCCGGAAGATGCGTCGCGCCGAACGCGTCGTCGTCGATGCCGTTCGTGAGTAGCTGATCGCACGTCCGAACTCGTTCCAGTTTTCGCTCTAACCTGCGTCGTTTTTGGCGGGTTTTCGCGTCAACGCTCGTGGAAAATTCGACCCCGATTCCCCCCGTCAACCTCGCAGCGATCTCGCAGCGTCCTCACGTCGTTCGGAATCGGCGAGACCAGAGTCATGTCCGACAAGCTGGCCGAATCCGTGGAGGACGACAGCTCCGTCACGATGCTCGACGTTCTCCAGGTGGAAAGTCAGCTCGAGGAGGACGCGTACGCCGTTCTAGGCGCGTCCGACGATCAGAATTGTACTTACAGTAAGGTAGGCATCTCATTCGTCTCGATGTGATAACTGCAACTTAACGGTCCTCTTCATGAATCTTCTCTGTTGCCAATTGGCTTCAGCTGATTTTGCTTCGTTTCTTTACAGGGATATATAAGGCAGGCACTGTACGCCTGCAAGACATGCTGCTCGGATAAAATCCGTGCAGCCGTCTGCTTGGCATGCAGCTTTCATTGTCATGAGGGTCATGAACTTGTAGAATTGTACACAAAGCGACACTTCAGGTGTGACTGTGGTAATGCCAAGTTTAATGGCAAGCAATGTAACTTGGAAAAGGTAGTTATTCATATGTTTTTTCTTTTACTGTTATAGAAAATCACATGGTATTGATTAAAGTATGAGTGTTGAATTTTTTCAGATGAAATCTGCTACCAATACCGAGAATAAATACAATCAGAATTTTGATGGTGTTTATTGTACCTGTGCTAGACCATACCCTGATCCGGAAGGAGATGAGGATGACATGCTACAATGTATAATATGTGAGGATTGGTATCACTTAAAGGTAAATATACAGGATAAAAAAATCCTTGATTATAGATCTAATAGATCTAAATTGACTTACATTTGTGCGATATCTTTTTGATTCCTTGAAACATAACTCAGCTAAGAAGCAATGATTAACTTTAATGAAATAAAAGATAGAGATAATTGCTAAAGCTATAAATCAAAACAGCTTTTATCAAAAGTTTGCAAGATTTAATTAGTCTGGCTTTGCCAATTCTATATATATTTATATTGAAGATAAAATTTAAATGTATTTATATCTAATATAATTGTGTTTCCCTTAGCATTTAGAATGTGACAACAGTACACTTGTAGATAACTCGTATGATGAAATGATCTGTGCGGGCTGTATGAGGGAACACAACTTTTTATGGAAATATGCAACGAAACATGCAGGTTTGTTAAGTTCTTATATTTTATCACCTTCGTTTTAACTCAAATACTGTCATTACTGTGTAACATTAATAGTAAGATTATATTATTTTTACTAAACAGTTTTAAAAAAAATGGATGGAAAAACAGATGTATCTGAGAAAAATGAAGAGATAAACGTGAGTGAGTTACCTAAAGGCTGTCAAATGCCAAAACTTAGTTATGCAGATACTAAAGGAAGCTGCTTTTGGGTAGAGGGTTGGAGATCTGCATTATGTACTTGTGAGGAATGCAAATCGGTGAGAATGTCATATGCTTTTTTTTTTTTATAAATATATTTAAAATTCTGATGGTCCAACGACGTTGTTCCAACGATATGTAACTTTATTCTCGTTGATAACTTTGTCTCTCGGATAAATTCTGAAAAAAAGATGAAAGTTATCAATGATATAGTTATCAATGAGATTAGTTATCCAACGTTGAAAAAACGTTGAAAAATTCTTATGTACATCTTTAAGTATAAAATCTTTCATTATACTTTTTGTCGTTTTACAGTTATACAATGCAAAAGATATTGCGTTTCTGCTCGATCCAAAAGACAGTGTACAAGCATATGAGGAAGCAGGTAAAATGAATAAGCAGGAATCTCAATATGAAAAAGGCATGAAGGCTCTTGCCAGCATGGGGCATGTACAAAAGTTGACAGCGATTGAAGGTAAAATTCATAAGTGAAATTATTCTATAAAATATTTTTGATAATGTATATACATTTTTTAGATGGAACTAGAAACTAAATATTTGTTTTTCGTTAATGTTAAACTATTATTTACAGAATACAATAATATGAAAGAACGACTTATGCAATATCTTCAAAAGTTTGCTGAAAACAAGAAAGTTGTACGGGAAGAAGATATAAAAGAGTTCTTTTCAGAAATGGAATCTAAGAAACGTCCTAGAGTGACAGTGCCAACATATTGCCGTTGAAAACTTATATTTCATCCCAATAACTAACAATCATCCAAATAAAACTAAACATTTTATTTTGTTTTTATGGCAAATTATCGCGATAGTGAATTCCTTATGATTTTATGTTTAATATTTGATCGTATCATTGCATTGAAAAGAGCCTTTCAATATATAAAAATTTCTATACATAAATGCATGGATCGTAAGGAGAGAAGATAGTTTGCGAATATAAATATACGTCAACAAAGAGTATTTAAAAAAAATTCGCAGTTTCTTTATATATGTACTTTTAATCTCTAATTATTCGATCTAATTATGAATAAATTTTTTATTAAAAAATATAACAACGTAGAATCGACCTCTTTCTTTCGCTGTTTACTCTATTTCCCTGCCGTTCACGATTTCCCCTCTTCTTTAATATAGATTTTCATAATTTTTTTTTTAATTTTTATACATTTTTAGATACACAACTTTTATCGGTATGTATTTAAAGTTAGTTTTGGCATTAACCTTTTGTGATGCTGTTTTTCACATAAACCACTAGAGGTTAATTGAGATTAGGAAAAGAAATTTGAGATGTAATAATGATTACACAATGTAAGTATCGTAGTAGTATTTATTATATATAATTGCTATTGACGGCTTGCTGATAATTAAGAAATTAACAATGGATGACTTAGGGATGTTTCATTGCCTCGCATCCAACGAAGTCGGTGAATCGTCCAGTTATACCTGACTAAAAGCGAAAACTTCTGGACCAATAATGGAAAACGGACCACAGTATCAGACGAAAAAAGGATACGACTCTGAGTTGCTGAAAATCAAATACTGTCTGATTACAACGAAATACAATACTTACGTGAATCATTAAAAGAATATGTCTTGGATAATGCATTTTTAGTGTACTGGAATTGTGACTTTTACAAGACGAATGATTATCATATTGTTTATCAACTGGATCTATTGGATTTCCTGATGATTTTTTAGACAACACTAAAAAAAATGTTGGGAATTAAAGAAGTTAAAATGATTTGAAGCGATTTAACGAAGGATCGATATTACAAAATTATAATACTTGCTGAGAAAAATGATTTGTATGAGAGAACCCTAATATTTGAAAGCCTATCTTTCCCATTGAGGTCCGTTTGCCTGGTTTTGAAAAACCTTCTCAAGCTAATATAACTGTTATTGACAATCTCTGCTTACAAAATATACGGGATCAACGTAACTTTTAAGCAAGTCAGAATGTTCCCGATAAAATATCTGTTATTTATATATAGATGTATATGTATATATAATAGCTGTTATACGCAGAATGTCTCCGATATGTTCACAATGGCGGAACATATTGTTGAGGTCCAATTAACGCAACCGTGGCCGATATGTCTCGCGATTACCCTTGACGTTCACGTTTTTCGCGTTATCTCGCTTCATGATGAAACTGGCAGTGATAGAAAGGGTCCGACATTATTTTTCACGTTGGAAAAACTCCATGTCTCGAATACATTACGACGTATACACTGCATCACCGATATATATATATATATATATATATATATATATATATAT